AGGCCGCGCGGAGTGACCGGCCCCTCCCCTGCCAGGGCTTCCTGTGCTTCGTGCTGGTGTTCTGTGCCCTGGTGCAGGTGGCCGTCTGGAGGTTCCACAACCCCAGCCAGGTGAGCGCCTATCCCGCCCTGCCCAGCCAGGTGAGGGCCCCAGCAGGGTGACGAGAGGCTGGGTCTGTGCTTCCTGCCAGCAGCCCAGTCACCAGGGGAGGGGAGCGTGGGTGTTCGGGGACCACTGGGGCACAGGGACAGGCCTCAGCCCTCCACCAGGACCCCTCCGCCCCACCCCTCCTGGGCTGGGACGAAGGCTCCTGGGAGCTGTTGGGGGTACCTGAGGGTTAGCGGGGAGGCTGTCAGAGCTCCCAGATGCACTAAGGGGTGTGTACCCCTGATGCAGACAGCCAGGCAGGAGAGATGCCTGTCTGCGGGGTGGGCGGAGGGGACCCAGGCCTTGCCCACGGACCTTGGCCAGGCTGCCGAGTGACCAGGCTGTGGGCTCTCCACGGGTTCCACTTGCGGTGTGGGTTCTTTCTCAGGGACATTCATGTCAGGGGTGGCCGGGTGATGACGCCCCCAGCAATGGTGGGGGTGGTCCCCCATAGGAGGCATCCATTTTTTTTTTCGTCTTTCTGTCCAGCCAGCCTCGGCAGGGCGTCCTGAGAGGCTCAGGGCCATGAGAAGTCTCATGTCCCACCTTTAAGGATGGAGGGGAGCCCCAGCTCTGGGAAGTGCAGTCACATAGAGCCACATCCCCAGGGAGCCTGTCTGGTTTGGGGGGGTGGGTCTGGCACCTTCATGAGTGGAGCTGACCCCCTCCCAGGCCAAGGCCTGGCCCCCACGTCTGGGCAGAGAAGATGGGCGACCGAGAGGCTCAGAGAGAGGCCCGGCGGTCCCCTGAAGGCTCACGGCGGGGCCGGCCCCCGCCCCGGACGCTTTGTTCTGGGTGGAGCAGCCAGACACAAGGCCGGAGGCTGGTGGAGGCAGGAGAGTGAACGGTGGGTCGAGAAGGGGCTGCTGGCAGCTCCAGGCCGCGGTACCAGGCCAGGGCGCAGAGCAAGGCTGGCCAGCGCCGGCGTCTCCCCCCAGAGCCCCTGGTAGGTCAGGTGGGGCGGCTGCAGAGGACCCCCAAGTTGCATGCTGTTCCCAAGGTGGGCATGTCTGTTTCGGGGCTTGGCCCAGGCCTCGGGCCACCACGGGAAGCTCAACGCCGCCCAGCCCTGAGACCCGGCTGCTCCCTGGCAGAGAGGGGGCAAGGGGAAGGCTGCCCCGCCTCCATCCCCAGCAGATGGTGAGCCCCAACTCCACAGATGGGGCCCAGCCCGGGTGAGACCTCCGCACAGCCCAAGAGGCCGCGGGGCCAGGGAGGGGCCTGGAGAGAGACAGGGGAGCCCGGGCCACAGGCCCCATCTGCCTGACGTCACGCGACCCGAGCCGGCCCTGTGCCTCCCTCTGCGTTGCAGTTTCCCGTGTGCTCAGCCAGGCCCTGCCCAGGGAGCCTGACCGGCTGAGGCGGACTTCCTGTCTGGGCGACACCCATGCACACGGCGGGTCCCGAGACGTGACTTCAGCCCTGGGTACCAGGAGCGCCAGCGGCCCTGGCCCCACACGTCGGGACGGAGAGGCTCAGAGAGCCCCAGGAGACCGGGCTGGCTCTCGGGCTGAGTTCGTGCTGTTAGATGCGCGACCCCTCGCTGGTCCTTGCTGTCCCCACCCTCGGCCACGGGCCCAGCTTCTCTCGCAAGTGCCCCTTGGAGTGGGTGAGGCCGAGTGGCCAGGCCCTTGGGAGTGGTGGTCATCCCCTTGGTGTGCAGATGGAGGGACTCAGGCCAGGTCGGGGACAAGGTCTCCCTGGCAGAACCAGGGAGGGGGGCCCCGGTCCACCAGCCAGGGCTCCTTGTGGTGGGCCAATGCCTCTTTTCCCTTCTCCACTCGAGGGGACCACCCACCACCCCGGCATCATTCGGGGTCACCCACCAGATGGGAAAAAGGACATTTCCTGAGACTCACGGAGGGGCTTGCAGCCCCCGAGGCGGCCTCCCGTGACCCAGCCCCCAGCACCGGCCTGGGTCACGGCGTGGGTGGTCCCAGTCCAGACAGCCTCCGGGGTGCCCTGGGGCCCCCTGCAGCCGTCCGGGGGCGGCTGCCGCCCACCCGTCTTCCCTCCTCTCACACTGTGTGTTTACAGCTCCGAGCCCGAGGTCTGGGGTGCTGCAGGGGACACTGTGCAGGGGCCACAGGTCACCGTGCAGCTGGGGCCCCTGCTCCAGGAATGAGAGGGGCCGAAAGCTGATGGCTCTCTGCTGAGCCTCTCCCTGTCCCAACCTCTGCCGCCGTCCCCGCAAAAAGCATCCTCATCCCGTCCGTGTTTCGACTGGCCTTCGGGGTCACTTCTTGGGGCCTGGCCTGACCCCGGGCCCCGGTCCGGTGGACCCCATTTGCCTTCTGGGGTGGCCACGTACATGGCCAGGTCCATGGGCACGAGGCGGCCGGGCGAAGTGGCCCTGGCTTCGAGGATCAGGTCAGCCTCTCAGGTCACCTTCCTGTGCCTGTTTCCGCGTCTCCCAGGGGGGCGTCCCCCCGCCCCCAGAGGGCTGCTTCGCGGCGGCAGATGAACCAGCGCACGTGAGGGCTCAGTGGGGCCCGCCAGCAGCGAGCAGCCGGAGCCCAGGGCACGCACCCATCTCGCGGGACAGCGTGGCTGGCGCTGTCCTCAGCTTGCACAAGACGGTGCTCGGTGCCAGAGCCCGGGCACGTGCGGCCGGGGCAGGCCCAGCTCTCCATCCAGGGAGGTGGGCAGAGCAGATCCAGCTCAGCTCCTTTGTTCCACGAGGTCCTGCGGGAGCCCAGCCAGGCCCGTTCACCCCATGGCCCCCCTGCATGTTTCCCCATGGGGACCCCCTAAGATATGCCGAAATACGGGGTCAGGACAGCTCGTCAGGGCCACCCTACAGGTGGGAGGTCTGAGGACAGGGGAGGACAGGGACTGGCCGCATCTTCCCATAGCCCGGAAGCCAGGCTGCAGACCCCGGAGGGCGTCGGGGGCGGGGGAGGCCGGGAGGCGGGGAGGCCCTGCTGTCCCCACTGCTCACAGGGTTTTCCAGCTGCCACTCCCCTGGGACACTGGCTCCCTCGGGACCTGGCAGACACCCCGAAGCTGGAGCTGGCCGGCAATGTGGTGGCCTGGTGGCCGTGCCATGAATACAGAATGAGAGCTATTAATTACACGCCTGCCGCAGCCCAAGAGCCACTGCCACAGCTCCCTTCGTCCCCAGACTGGCCCAGGAGTGAATGAATGGCCCGGCTCGCTTAATAATTCATGCAGGGACTAAGTGCAGCCTGCGGAGAATTGCTAATAGGCCAGTGTCCTCACAGCTCCCAGCCATCTGCCCCCCACCCCTACCCCGCCTCGAGGCCGGCCACTTCCCTCCCCGACTGTCCAGCCAGGCCGCCTTCTAGACTCAGGTCGGAGCTGGCCCTCTGGCCTAAAGGGCTGGTATGCAGACCACCTGGCCACCACAGGCCACCCCCGGAGCCACGCAGGCAGGTTTAACAAGCAGTAGGGGTGGGGCGTGGGCCGGAGAGTCGCTAGGCGGGGGGCCAGGGATGGGGGTGTGGGCTCCCCAGGCACCTGGTCTGTACAGGTATCTGAGATGTGCACTGTCCAGGGAACAAGTGTTTAGCAGCCCGGGAACCTCCATCCTGAGGGGGGTCCCCCATCCTGAGGGGGGTCCCCCATCCTGAGGGTCACCCCCATCCTGAAGGGGCTCTCCTGGAGCTCTGGATGGCAAGGCTTAAGGAGCAGGGCAGGGAGCACTCCGGTGTCAGGGCCCTGGAGCTTCCAAGACCACCTGGTGTACCCCAGTTTCCCCATGGAGAAACACCGGCCTCCAGTGCCCCTGAACCCGGTGACGGGGTGCAGATGATGGTGGGGCGCCACCTAGACATCCGGGCCAGCAAGGGGGGTCCCACCTGGCCCCCACGGCCGGATGCGGGGCCCGTGGGCAGGGAGCGTGGCTTGGCCACACCGGCGTGTGGCCCTGCTTCTGGGGACAGGGAGGCAGACGCGCACAGCTCGGCCACTGCGAGCATCATCCTGAGCGTCAGCCTCACTGCCAACGTCATGACGACAGCTCGTCCCGGAGCCCCCAGGGCCGTAGTGTGGGGAGCAGAGGAGTTGGGGGGTAGGGATGGAACCAGGAGGGGCGGTCGGAGCTGGCCTCCTTGTCACGGCCAGCTGCCCCACTGACCCCGGGCCTCCTCCGACAAGGACGCAGCGGCCTGGCTGTTCTTCCTCTCATGCCACTTCGGGAAACGGGCAGAGACAGGGCCGCTAGCCGGGCCCGCCAGCGCGGGGTGCTGCCCGCTCCCCACAGCGGGAAAGAAACCGCTGGCCACGTTGGGGGTGGCTAGCAGAGTGGTGTCTCCACGGGGGGCTGGTGCACACGGGAGCAGTGTTGGGGGCGGAAGTCCATGGGCTCCCACTGGCGCACGGGGGTTTGGGAACAGTCTGGTCAAAGCGGCCCCACCGCCCACCTGCTGCCTGCCCCCGGGTTCTGCAGGCTGGCCTTCCTTTCCCAAGGAGGGTGTTAGCAGCCAGAGCAGGCATGGGGCACCAGCCTTTGGGGCACCCCTGAGCGCCCATCAGCGTGTCCTAGCTGTCAGCTGTGGGGGGTGGGGAGGGAGGCACCAGAGGGCGGGGAGCTCGGGGATGCCTCTCTGCCAGGAGCAGTCACAGAGGGCTTCCTAGAGGAGGCGAGATGCCCATTTGTCCGAAGGGGTAACGTGGCACCGTGGTCCGGGAAGGCAGCATGAGCGAAGGCACGGAAAGGCGGGTGGAGGCGGGCAGAGGCCATGGGGTCCGGGCGACGGGCGCGGAGTGAGGTGGGGCCTGGCCAGGCCCCCGTAGCTTGATGCCCCGCCCCCCGTCATCTGCCCCGAGGGGCTTCGTCTGCCTGGAGCTGGCGCTGGGTGCCCGCAGCTTCCCCAGACAAACGCCTTGCCCAGAGCCCAGCTGTGCGAGCTTTCTGGAACCCTCCAAAAACACCGAGCGTGTCACTGGGGAGCTATGCCCTGTCCCAGCATGAGCCGTAACAGCCTGGCTGTCGGCTTCGCGGGCCCCACTGCCGGCTCCTAGAGGAGAGAAGCAGGCGGACGCTTCCCCCGGCCGGCCCTCCTCGCTCCACGGGGCCAGACCTGGGCTCTCCGGCTTATCCCGCAGGAACCCCTGGGGAGCAGGGGCGGCAACAGCGGGGGACCCGGGCTCCACCTCTCGGCAGAAGGAGGGGCTTCACGGGGACTCTCGGTGCAGGTGGAAGACGCCGTGTTGGACGTCTATGACCTGGTGTATGACCAGGCGGTGAAAGGCTACTCGGGCGCCCGGCGGCAGGAGCTGGTGGCCATCCAGGACACGGTGAGCGTGCACAGCAGGCCTCCCCATCGCTGGGCGGCTCCGGGCCAAGTCAGCCTGCCCCAATGGCCCGTGATCCAGGAAATGGGCACAGGGTGACCCTCGGGGTCAGCCGGCCAGGGCCCAGGATCCCCAGGACGCAGGTCATCGAAGCCCCCGGGTGGGGCGGAAAGAGCTCCGGTCCTCCTCCATCTGCCCTGGACAGGACCCACTACGAGTGGGCGGGGCCCCAAGCGAAAGAGACGCCCACTGTCCAAAACGACTGAGCACGGCGAGGCGCTGACCGCACAGCCCCCAGCAGGGCCCAGTGACCGCGGGGGTCGCAGCCCGTGGGCCGCCCTGGCCCCGGCAGGCGGGCGGCTGCAGTGGCCTTGCTGCCTGAGGGCCGTCGGCCCTCCTCTCCGAGGAAGCCCACTGGGCGGGCAGGGAGGGCCCGGGGCCCCACAGAGCCCCAGTCCTGGCCTCTGAGGGGCCCCCGGCTCTGCCAGACCCCACGTCGTCATTCGGCTCCTTCGCGCCTCAGTCTCCCCAGCTGTCCGGCGGGGACCTGGGGATCTGAGAGCAGACGGCCCCCCTGTGCTTGCAGTTCCAGTGCTGTGGGAGGAGTGACCCTTCCGGCCCCCCGGGCGGTGGGCAGGCCGAGCCGTGTCACGGGGAGGAGGCCGCGAGACAGGTTAGGGGCCCGGGCCCGGGGCGGGGGGCTCGGGGGGCAGAGGCTGAGCCAGGTGAGGCTGACCTGACCCCGATCCAGGCCAGGTCCTTCTCCAGGCTGGACGCAGGCCCCACACTGCACTCACGCCTTCAACTCCCGGCCTGGGTGCCGCCCGAGGCCAGGCACTGAGACTCGGCCCTTGGAAGCGCAGGGGTGGGTGAGACACAGACAGCGGTGATCACCGGCCAGGGCCCAGAGAACAGGAGCGGTCAGCTCCGGTGGCGGGTGGAGGATGGAGGGGAGCAGGCGTCCCGAGGGTCCCCCCCACCCCACCCCAGGAGCCGGAGAACATTCCACAGAGGGAGCCGGGGACTGGAGCATCAGCCTGGGCCAGTGAGACCACAGGCAGGAAGCCTCCTCTTCTCTAAGGCCCTAGAGAGGGACCTGGCACCCCCTCCCTCCAGCACCCCCACCAGCCTCCCCGCTCCCCTGCCCCCGCTGTCCGGGAAACAAACCCACCCCTATCTCTCAGGCTCCTGGCCGCCCTCCAAGAAACAAACAAGAGGGCGCAAATGGCACAAGGCCCAGGGAGGGACGCGGCCAACACTGCACCGTGGGCCCCAGAAGGCTTCGTGCTGGGGAGGGGGCCGAGGGCCGGGGAGGCCGGTTCCTGCCACCCAGGGCGAGGCCTCAGGTCCCACAGGCAAAGCGAGGATGAGGGCCTGGTCCCTGTGGGCACCTCTGGGCGGCCAACTGTGAAGGTCTCCCGGGCGGGGACGTAAGGCCAGCACGGGAGGCTGGGTCCACGGGGCCATCTGCCGAGCCACCTTGGGGGAGGCTGGGGGTAGGCGGACGGGGATGATACCCTGGACAGTGGTCTGCCCCGGACTGCCTTCCAAGAGGAAGTGGGGCCACGTGGAGGGACCGGGCGATCAGGTCCGTGTTCCCACGGGCTGGACGGCAGGACGGCGTCCGGGGCTCCTGGGGCTGTCCCTTAGCTGGGATAAACCAGAGTGCCAGCTGCCTCGGGAGCCAAGTGTGGGCCAGACTGGTCCGAGCACAGCAGGGAGGCCTGAGGGCCCGGACGCTGTCGAGTGAACTTGTGGACAGATAGACAGACAGCCACTAAGCCAGCCCCGCTCCGTCCCCATCCAGGCCTTCAGAGCCACACCCCAGCGTCCCTCTGTGCAGCCTCCCCCAGCATGCCCCAAAATGCCAATGTCTTTCCCCAAAACCAAATGCACCCCCTGAGAGGTTCGGAGGTGGGGGTTACCCCTCCTCCTCTGTGGATGCGGAGCCCTGGGGAGACACGGGAAACGTGGCGTGCAGCCAGGACCCCGGCATGCCCCTCCACTGGCCAGTTGCCTGCCCTGCCTCTCCTCGCCCAGGCGCTGAGCCCGGCCCTGGACAGGTGCTGGGGACCAGGACACATGACCCGACACGGGCAGCTCAGCCCTGCCTGAGGGAAGGTGCCTGCTGGCCCCTGGCCAGCGGCCCCTCATTCAGCCCGGCTCCATCGTGCTAGCTCGCAATGCCGTTCCCAGAGCTCTGCGTGGTTGTTCTGGGGTATGCCGCACCCCCTCCCCCGGGTGGCATGCCGGTCCACGCCCCGGCAGGGAGGACCGGGCAGGGCGGGTGGCCTCACGCTGCCCTCTGCCCAGGACTGTCTGCAAGCCATCAGGAGCTTCCTGAGGACACACAGACACATCACGTCTGCCCTGACCGGCGCTGGCCTCGCGTTCATGGTATGCCCACGGCCCCTTCCCCACCTCCCTGCCCGCCCCGCCGAGTCCCCACCCCCGCTGGAAGGGCGAGGCCGGGCAGCCCTGGACGGAGCTCTGCACCGGGCTGACCCCGGGGAGCCAGCCTGGGCGGAGGGGGTTCCCGCCTTTCTCCCTTCCCCAGACGGCCGGGAACCTGGGGAGGCTGTGCCCCCCGCCCTAGAGCTGCTGGCGCAGGGGCTGCTGCTCCCCAGGTGTACGCCACGCTGCTCAGCTCCTTCCTCTGGTTCGCCATCCGTGCCGGCCACGGCTTGCACCGCAAGGGCACATACGCCCTGAGTCCACGGTAGGCCCCGTCCCCCCCTCCGGGCAGGACCCCTGCACCAAGGGCACCCATACTTGGGGAGGGGGGCTTTGGGGCGGCTGGCCACACCGAGGGAGGGGGCGGCTGGGAGGCTGCCAAACCCACACCCTCTCCACCCTACAGCGGGCACAGGGAAGGCCTCTGCTGGCCCCCGAACCCCACAAACCCTGACCTCGCAAGTGCCATCTCCACTGACACCGAGAGGCCCTAGGCCAGGACCCCTATCCTGGGACCCCAGGGCTCCCCATGCACCGGGAGCAGGGAGGAGCCGGGCCCAGCCACCGGGCGGCCCCTCCTGCCCGCCGCCCTGTGCTCACGGCATTTCCTCCACTCACCCCACCGGGTCGCTCCCCCTGGCCGCCTGGCTCCCGCCCCGCCCGGGCATCCCGCCTGGCCCCTCTGCCTTCTAGAGCAGCCTCAATGTCCCTCCACTTCCCAGGGCCCGTGGCAGCCGGTCCCAGGAGCCCAGCTTCTTCAGACGCATCGAGGAGACACATGCACCACCTCCCCCGTCCGAAGCAGATGCCCGCCCGGGCCCGAGCAGACACCTGGGTGGCCATTGGCTGCTCCAGGACAGCTGACACCCCGGCTTCAGCCCCCCACGGGACCCTCAGGCAGGGGATGGGAGCTGTCCCTCCATATTGTGGAGGCACAAGGAACGGGGGGCTGGCCAGATAAGCAGGCTCCGTGCTAGCAGGCGGGCAGGGGTCACTCAAGAACCCACGGGAGTGAGTCAGAACAGGGGAACCAGAGGGCAGGCCGGACGGGGCTCTGCTGGGGTCAAAAGGTCAGACCAGGGGTGGACTGGACCCCCTTCTGGGCTGGGCTTTGGGACCGACGGCCCCTCCCCTTGCTGGCCGTCAGCAGGGACGTTCACTGCTCCCGGGGCCACTCCGTTCCCTGTCAGGTGACCCCGCCATCGTCAAGGCAGCAAAGGGGCACGCAGCGCCCTTCTCAGCTCAGTGCCTGCGCCTCCCGCCCCCACCGCCGGCACGCGCTCTGCTTTCAAACGCTCCAGCAGCTTCGCGAGGCCCACCCAGGCGCGAGGCCCACCCAGGCGCGAGGCCCACCCAGGCGGCTTCCATCTTCGGGAGCCACGTGCACAGGTTTCGAGGATGAAGGCAGACGCGGGGGACAGGGCGCATTTTAGAAATCCCGCCCGCCACGGCCACTCCCGCCGGACACCCAACCCACCTCTCTGATGAATTCTAACCGTTCCCAGGGGTTTGCACCCATCGCGCTAAATCCACAGGCCTGAGTCAAATGCTGCTTTAGGCCCAGCCGAGGTCAAGGCCCAACAGAGCCGGCTTAGGAGAAGGGGAGGGCGGGGCCTGCGACTCCACAGACCCAGCCGTTCTGTGACAGGCAGCCGACAAAGGGACGGTGACCGGTGACAGATACCCACCACGGCCCGCCCCGCACTCCCGGTCACGCACACTTCTTCCCATACCTGCCCTTCCAAAACCGAGCGTTCCCACCCAAGGCAGAGCAGAGGGCACCCCCGGCCGAGTCCTCGCCCCAGAGGAAGGCGCCCCAGCGTCTCGTGGGTCCTGCACTCGGGGACAGTCCAGGCGCGTCCGTCCTCTGGTCCCGTCCTGTCATCTCGTTATCCTGCAGACGCAGAAATAAACTTTAAAGTGCCAGCAATAAGTCCTCCGTACGACGGTGGACGGGGACAGGAAGGGAAAGGGACCGGAGTTCGACTCCGCGCAAGCGC